TCAATCAATCAATCAATCAATCAGTCAATCAAGGGGGGGTGGGGCGACCCCGCCCCCACAAATCAATCAATCAATCAATCAAACAATCAATCAATAAATCAACGAAAAAAATAAATAAAAAAATACCCGCATTGTTTTTTTTTTTTTTTTCCAATCGTCATCAATCACAGCCAAACCCCCCCAGGGGGTGGGTCTGGGGTTGCGCCGCCCCATGGCGCTTCCTAAATCCCCAACCCCCCTCCCCACTGGCCGCAACGTGGCCGCAAAGTTGCGCGGCCGTGCGGACGCGGCCGCAGGGTCGCGGACTCGACCGTGGCCGCGGACTCGGCCGCGCTTAGCCACCGCTGAGGGGGATTCGTAGCTGAAGGGGTACATTCTCCCTCTTGCTTGGATGAATGTTTGTCTTTCCCCTTTGTGTCCACTCAAGACAGTCACTCTCTCTCTCTTCCTTTTCTATCTCTCTCCTCTCTCTCTTCCCTTTGGTTACGAGTCTCCACGGGAATTGAAAACAAACTCAGAGAAATAAACATAACGAAAAACTTAAAGAAATAGAAGGTAGGATTTCTAGCCGGTGCGACATTACAATTGGACTTAAGAACAGCCAATAAATAAAAAAATAAAAATAATTTTCAGATAAGAGGTATGACCCAACGACATAATGTCAGATCAACCTGCATACGAGATCCTCTCGAGTCCAATTTGACCAGTTCCATGAACGTACAACAAATCAGACAACGAGTGAGGACATGCAACAATGGAGAATTGAGCGAGTCAAGCTACGGACGGTGTGACAAAAGCATGTGCAATGTCTCAGCCAAGTTCCCCTTGGCAGCGAGTGTCGTAACCAAAAGAATAAACTTTGTTCCCCGTCAGAAAGAGAATGAATCAGATTTGGGTATCAGGGGGCCCTTCTTGCTTGGGCCCGGTCCCACTAGGTCCCTAGGGGTCCCACGCAGGCCGTGACCGAGTCCCAACCAAGAGGAGTCTCACGTGAACTTACTTTCTGCTATACCGTAATGAAAAATAAATTTCAACTTTTAGAGAGAACCTACAGACTACAACCGTTTAGAGATGAAAAGACGAAGCATTGTAGAAGGACTCGGCATTCAAAGTAAGATACTTCATTTCTCCATCCATTAGGTGAGTAAGCAGTCAACACACTAAAACACATAAGCAAGACCGTAGAGGAGTAGGAAAGAAACCCATAATTATGCCAATAGGACAATCAATACCATGCACACACAAGCATGGGCGTCCCATAGGTGCACGACACGTACCTGAGTCGCCTGAGCTTCGAGATGTAGTACTCACCCCCCTCTGATATGGTCCTCTTGACCCGAGAGAAGGTTAACAACAGTCGTATTTTTCATCACCACTTCAGGACACTCTTCACCACTTCAGGATGCAGTCTGCCTAGACAGGTGGTTTTCAGGGTCTTCGGACCTTTCACCACGTCAGGACACCCTTCACCACTTCAGGATGCATCCTGCCTAAACAGGTGGTTTTCAGGGTCTTTGGATCTTTCACCACTTCAGAACACCCTTCATCACTTCAGGATGCAACCTGCCTAAACAGGTGGTTTCCAGGGTCTTCGGACCTTTCACCACTTCAGGACCAATCAGGATTTTCAGACAACCCAAAACTCTCACTTCACCATTTCAGGACACCCTTCACCACTTCAGGATGCAGCCTGCCTAAGCAGGTGGTTTTCAGGGTCTTCGGACCTTTCACCACTTCAGGACCATTCACGATTTTCGGACTGTCCAAAACTATCACTTTAGAATTTTCATTCCTGAATTTTCAGCTACCCGTTAACCACTTGTGCTTGACCCATGTAACACTACCCCTACACTAGTGTCCGATCTCCTAGGAGGGTGTGACTCCAACACCCAAGTGCAACGTGAGGTTCTATGCTGGAGAACAAAGTAGAACTGCCATTTCATCAAAATTGACATTTTTAATTTTTTGAACGAAGTTGAAACCAAGTTGTTTTGGCCAAAAACTCATCCAAATTTGCTGCTCCTGAGGGTTCAGTGTTCCTAAAACAATGGACCCCTAGATGTATGTGGACTTAGCTTGAGACTAGATACATCCAAGCGGTCCCCCTGGATGTATCTGGTCTCAAACTAAGTCCATATACATCCAGACCCACACTGATACCCTGCCTTACCTATACTATGTGTTGAAAGCCCACAAGTCTCCTCCAGCTCTTCGCAGCATTCTTGCAGTCATAGCACATAATACTTCTCCTGTCCCCCCACGCACTCGCTCTCGTCCTTCAATTCGCACCATTCATGAACGGCCTCCTCACAAACCCTTGGCTAGCACAACGGCTACTTCGTCCTGTCTCAGCACTGCTTTGCAAGGCGTGATCTCTACTCTTCGTGAGAAAGACACTGAGCTCTATCAACAGGAAGGTGTTTGACGGTGCTGGATCATCCAGAGTGCCGATGAGGTGGCGATKGACCTGAAAAACAATGTGTCCTCTCTACGTGGCCTCTCTCCTCGCACGGTTGATTTCACCACAATGTACACCAACCTTCCTCATGACYGCATTTTGAATAATGTGGCAAAGGCTGTTGATGAAGCTCATGCTTATGCTCTTCAGCATACCCGCATGCATTCGCGCTGCAGAGCCTTGAACATGTTTATTCGCGGCCTTTGCTCTGGCCAATGGACAACCGATTCAGGACCAGACAACCTTTCCGTTTCTTAGATTCTCCAACATCTTCGCGTTGTTGTAGAAAACACTTTTCTGTACACTAGAGATGGCACTCTTCGAAAGCAAATCATTGGTTTTCCAATAGGAACAAATGCTGGCCCATAAATATCCAATCTAACGCTCTATTGGGATGAAGCACGCTTTATTGATGACATTCGTCAACATGATCCCCAAGCTGCTCAGCGATACGCCTTCACTTACCGCCTCATTGATGATGTTCTTTCATGGGGACAATTACCTCCTCCTTCAGAGCACTATGGGCTTGAGTGGAAGGAAACTACGGCTACTGATGGCTCGTGTACCTTTTTAGGTATGCATCTACGAGTACGTTCTGATGGTTCGCTTCGCATGAGCGTGTTTGATAAAGCGGCTGCTTGGGATTTCCCTGTTATTCGCTATCCAAGTGCTACCTCCAACATCCCTTCCCATCAACCGGCAGGTGTGTTCACTGGGCAATTGACCAGATTTGAACGCATCTGCAATAATTGGCAGGACTTCCGAACTGCAGCGACAACACTCACTCGTCGCATGCCCACCAACCCTCGCTAAAGGATGAACCTGCTACACACGCTCCCGCCAACGTCGCTATCGTACACACGTCACCCTGTCTCTTATACACATCTAGATGTGTATAAGAGACAGTACATTATACGAAGTTATACGTGCTGCTAATGCAGTTCCCACTGTTGCGGTTCCCACCGCCGCCGCTTCCACCGCTGTGGTCTCCACTGCTGCAGTTTCTACTGCTGCTGCCGCTATGGTCTCCACTGTTGCAGTTTCTACTGCTGCTGTTTCAACTCCGGGTTTCACTCCAGCAGTTTCTGCTACGGAAGTTGCCTCCGCTGCTCGTCCTGTCACTGCTTGTTCATCTGCTGCTAATGCAGTTCCCACTGTTGCRGTTCCCACCGCCGCCGCTTCCATCGCTGCCGCTTCCACCGCTGTGGTCTCCATTGCTGCAGTTTCTACTGCTGCTGCCGCTATGGTCTCCACTGTTGCAGTTTCTACTGCTGCTGTTTCAACTCCGGGTTTCACTCCAGCAGTTTCTGCTACGGAAGTTGCCTCCGCTGCGGTCCCTGCTACGGAAGTTGCCTCTGCTGCGGTTCCTACTACAACAGTTGTCTCTGCTGCGGTTCCACTTTTTACCACTTGCTCTGCTTCTGTACCTCGAATTTCTCATGCTATAGTTTTTACTGGTATAGCTTCCTCTACCCCAGCCCGACACTCGCGTACTATGTTCCGACATCTTGCCGAATCCACCCCCCTTTCATCCCTTTCTGTGCTTGACCGCAGACGGGTGCGTTCCTCCTCGCCACCCCCATCTCCTCCACGGTCTCGTTTGAGAACCGATTCTCCGGTTTCTATTCTTCCCATTGTTCCGCCTTCATTGCCAGTGACATCTTCTGTTAGAAACATCGCCACTCCTCTTATTGTGTATCATCGTCGACGACATGCACAACATCGCCACTTGGCCAGGGATCAGCGGCCTGCTTGTTTGTCTACCCCAATTCTCTCTGTGCCTCCTCCACGGGTTGTTGCGGTTCCGTTGTCCCAAACGGATACATCCGCCCCTACGCCTCCTGCAGACAGTCCAGTTGCTTGCACATAGCCACAACACCATGTCTTATGCCCTTCCATGTTCGTTTGTCCCCCAGGTGTGCAACAGGATATGGTCCCTGCCCGGAGTACACTCCCAACGACAGTTCGTACTCACGATGTGGCCCCGAACGCTGAGGACCTGGGACATGATCAGCTCGGACTGCATTTAACCCCGCAAGGCATAGACCATACGGGAGATTTGCAAATGGCTGACCGGGATCATATGGATGAACCGCGTACTTGTGCCCCTCCCTATGTGGCCCCGAACACTGAGGGTGTAACGAGCGTGAGGCTGAGGGTGAGCCGAGGGAGAGGAGAGAGAGGGAGAGAGTGAGAGCACACACACACACTCACTCACTTGACACGACGGACTCGGACTGAGGGTCGGACGCAGACACAGTTGCAAGGCACAAAGTCGAAGTCTTGGATTCCGAATGCCGAAACAGCAAGTCACA